CATTTTTCATTAGCAAAAACCTCAAAGTGCTACAAAACAGCAAAACGCGAATAATAAAACTAGCAAAATCAATAACAAAATTAAAATACACTAAAAAATAACAGCCACAGCTGGGAGAAAAAAATAACCCAAATGCTTTCACTTTTTTGTTCCAGATTTTAAAGAAACCACTGGAAAAATTAATGTAATAAAAAAAGTGATAAAAATTTTCACAACCCCCTGCAGTACCTCCACATGCCCACTAGGTGTCGCCACCTCCGCTCTAATGTATTAAGATGCTTGAGGTGTGCACCAATCACTCTCTGCTTCAGGCCAGCGGAGATTATCCTTGTATTTCCTTTAAAACAAAATTTCATCAGACATATTTTTCTTTATTTGCATGGTAGAGTTTTGACATATGAGAAATAAACTGCCTACTTTTCATTTTTTTTAAAAAGTTCCAGCTCTCTGGAGCTGAGCTGGTATTAAACTAAGTTAAAACTGGACTTTAACAGTTTCAGAACTTTTTTTGTTGAATCCAACGAGTCAGCTGAGATCTCCTTTTTTAAACTTTAAATAAAATTGAGCACCTAACCCAATCACTGAGTTATGACGTTGCTCTTTTGTTAAATATGTATCACCTGGAACTAAAATCAGTTTTGCTGTGGTCCAGGGCATGCTGCGGTACCGATCGGACCTGCTGAAGACTTTGGGAACGCTGCTGTTCCTCCCGGTCTTCCTGAGCGGAGCAGCCGAGCAGAAACAGGTTGTGGAGATGGAGCTCTTCTCAGAATACGTAGACGACCCTGTGAGTCCAAGTTATTTCGAAATGCAGTCACGTGGAGTGAAATATGAGGAAGTAAATTCGAGCCACATTTTATTTATTTGTTTGTTTTTTTCCCTTTATGTCTGTGTTCAGTATTCTCCCTCGGTCACAGCTCTCATAGAGATCATGTCCAGCAAGGTCCAGATCTATTCTTCTCATCTCTACGTTCACGCTCATTTTACTGGTATCAGGTGAGGATCACCAAACAAAAATGAAGAAAATCAGACTTATTGCATATAACAGAATATATAGATCTGGATCTGCTGCATCAGAATGAAATTGGGTTTTTCCATCAGGAAGTGTTCAGTCGTGATCCATATCTTGTGATCGTAGGTGAAGGTTAGAACTTGGATGTTAAATCCACCTTCATTCCTACCCTGCTTGATCCTATCATCACTTCAAGATATTTAAACTCCTTCGTCTGAGGCAGAGGCTCCAAACTCAAAAACTAATGAGAACTAGACATGGGTTTTTACGATGTAAAAACAAGTGTGCATTGCCATGTAACATGTCATTGCAGCATGGCTTTGCCTRCAGCAWTGGACTTGCAGAATGAACTTTGACCAAGTTCAAATGTGTTTTCTATACAAGCTTGTGCCTGTCACATCAGCAGGTGTTTGTAATTAAGGTAATTGTGTGACAATATGAAATTTGAAGAGATTTTTTGTTAAAGTTGCTTTAGCTGGGTTTTGAACCCTGATCTCTCACATGAAAGTCCATGACATAGACCATTAGACCAATGGAGCTGTGGCAGAAGATGGTGGCAGGGGTTGGTTTGTATGTGTGCAGAAAGAGGCCACATTGCCAATACAATTATTGACATAAAATGCATAATATTACAACAACAGAGCAGTATTAAGACAATATTATAGTAAAACATCAAAATACAATCATATTAGTTCTGTAAACACTGAACTGCTGAGATGAAATATTAAACTATGGTGCAGTACCAAGTTGAGTACAGCATGGGCAGTATTGGACCAATACAAGGCTCCATTGACTGCCATTATAATTCATTAAACATTAATATTTCATAAACTATAAGTTTTACAGGCACCAAAAGGCATAGCCATCATTCGGCACAGGGTCTTTACAGATATAAATTACAATGGCAGCTCTAGGGCGAAGTATGCAGGAGGAGAAGCGTGGCAAAGTTGAGATGACTTGGATTGGAAACAAATCACAATGCAATGCACACTGACTAGAAATGTCGTCACATTCTCTCTTCTAAAAAAAAACCTCCTCTGTTACAGAATAAAGTGAGAACATCTGTACCAACGTGTTTTCTTTCTCCTTTTCTCTCATCAGATATTTGCTCTTCTACTTCCCCATCCTCTCAGCCTTTGTGGGCGTGTTCACCAACTTCATCTTCCTCAGCTTCCTCTTCATCCTGAGCTACATGCGGCAGCTGTGGAAGGTGGGGCAAAACCCAGAGCAGGTGAGAGGAGAGGCACGTTGTAACCAAATGAATTATTAATAAAAACAACATGTAAGCTGAAGGTTGGTGACTGAGATTAAACGAAGCTGAGATCCTCACGGGCGTCATGATTGACAGGTCACAGCAAACAGGTATCAGCCAGAGATGATGGGAAACACCAACCAGTTACAGGAGGAAGAGGATGCAGGTAGAAGAGAGATGCTTTTTTAACTAAACTTTGCACAAAAAATAAGGAAGTTTTGTGCTTTAATTTGCTTCCATAGGTCACTCTGAACTGATTGTGTGACCTTTTTTTTCCTCTCATGTCCTGCAGAGCTGCTGGGTCCTCTTCAGAACCCGGGTCTGGGGGGAGAAGACCCCCATCTGCCACTTTTCAAATCCTCAGAGCTGCACAACGGAAACATCGCCGAGCAGTCTGAAATAACCGATTCTGAGGTTTCAAATGAGGAAGAATAGAGAACGTGATCGGTCAGGTCCTGAAAGGATGTATAAATGATACAAGTTATTTCACACCATAAAGCGTCATCTGTTTACGACACGTTTGTGAACTTCATCTGTAAATGAGCAGCTTCTGTACGCTACAAAGATTACAAAGAGGCAACTGTAAACACCTCACAACTTAAATACAGATATAAGCTGCTTTGCTTCAATGGTTCATTTCAGATCCCATCAAGAGCTTTAATTCTGGTTTGTCTCATTGTTTTGACAACCTTCTGGATTAATATTCAGTGTTTGTTTTTTCTTCGCAGCCTTGCTTTGACCACTGAAGAACTTGTTCTGACGTTTTATTGTAGAGCTCAGCATTATGTTGCTGTTTGGTATTTTTTATCTATGCAAACAGGCATTCCTGACCCCACAGCAGCAGAAGATCCTCATTTTAGTTTTGTAAATATTTTTGATTGCTTATTCACTTCAGCTACTTATACGTGGTCCAGAAGGTTAATGGTTTTAGGTCAAATTCATGAGTAAATATAATAAAAGCTCCATCAGTCTTCAAAGTGGTTGAGTTATTGAGTCAAGCCTGCAGTTGGAGGGAGGACACAGCGCTCCACGCCGTCTGATGTTGTCATTCCTGGATGTCATCCCGCCCCGCGGCGCTGTTGGCTGACTCCCATCAGCCGGCCCCCGGACCAGACCTGAGCTCTGGAAACTTAATGACATCACCGCATGCAAACTGTTGCCACAGCAGAGAGAGCGACTCGGCGTGAAGCTCGAGGCTTTGTATGACTGCAAATCAAAAAGCAGAGAAGGTAAGCTTTGAGAGAATTATTTGTTTTATTTATTTATTTTTGTGTCAAGAAAGTTTGATTTTTGTTTGTTTTTGGGTTTTTTTTGTTGGTTTTTTTTCAGTTTTTTCAGTCTGATTAATATTCAAAACTGTTTCTTCTGTAAACATTTCCCTGTTGCACAAGCACATGTTGTGCCAATGGAACAGAGTCACCACCTCTGCTCCGGGCGGGACACAGACATGGACTCTGCAGAGGACAACAAGCACCTGGACAGGATGGAGACGGAGGAGACGCAGCAACATGTGGCTGACAGAGAGGGGCTGTTCAGCCGCTGCAGGGGGGGCCAAGGGAGATTCAGGCCCAGGCTCCTGGCGACGAAGAGCTTCCCTCCTTACAGCCAGTGCATCGGTGGGCTGGGAGAGGACGAGGACTGGGACGATGCGTCCAACTCGGAATCAAACGCGAATGAGAGGGAGGACACCCGGGAGGTCCAGGACAGAAAACCCTCGGAGTGTCCACGAGAAGTTCTCAGGGCCAAATGGAGGTCCAGGAGGAGGGAGAAGCTGGGGGGCAGCTTTGAGGTGGGCGAAGAGGGGTGGGAGAGGGGGAGGTGGAGCGGGAGGCGGCGGGGGAAGGAGAGCGGGGAGGGGAAGGCTGGGGGGCCGAACAGCGACAGCAAACACTGGAGGGGCCGGAGCTCTGGTTTCGGGATAGAAAAAGATGACGAGGAGGAGGAGGAGGAAGGAGGTCGGCAAGTCTCGCCCCCCGCAGGAGCACGGGAGGAGGGCGGCATCAGCCCAGAGACCTCCKTGGAGATGACGGAGCCCTCCACTCAGCGGCATCCAATCCTCTCCAAGCTGCTCTCCTCCTCCACCTCCTCCTCCTGCTCCTCCATCAACCTCTCGTCAGGAGAGAGCGATGAGGTCTTCAGCGAGGCGGAGGACGCGGCGGCGAAGAGGAAGACCTTCAGGAAGGTGAGGAGGCCCGACTCAGGACACGTGGTCGCACTAACCTACATGTTTCTGTTTGTTTTTATCACTTGTCACATTAAAGCCTCTGACATCACATCTGAGCATCTGGCTGCTCTGGTTTACTGTGGAAGAGAATAAAAACGTGTTTCTCAACTGTTCTCTGCACCTGTGGTCCTGCTGATTTGCATGAGCTTGAAAGAGGACTTTGACCAGGTCAGATTTGAATGGCGTTTGCATGACTGGCTGCTGCTCCTGCAACAGATATGAATGAAGGGAGGAGCAGATGGTGGGAGGACAACTAGAAAGTAAATGTTCCTTCTGCGGCCTCAGAGCGGACAAACTGTAAATAAAATATAGAAATAAAAAAGGCAGCTATGGGAGCAGAAACGGGGAGTGCTACCTTTTTGTTAGATTTACACCTTTCATAATTTCTGATGCCAACAAGCTTTAAAGCCACAGCTTAGACTTGTGGCATTTGCATTCTTTCAGCTGCGTTCGGCTGTTTTTGCACCGAGCATGCTCAGATCTGCTTGAACCGTTTTGTTTTTCTGCACATCTGAGCATGCTGGCAGCTGTTTTGTCTGCACACAAAACAGGTCTTACGTTTTCAGCTGTGCTCCGTGTAAACTCTTTCAGCTCGTCCAGAATATTTACAGCACATTTTCAGCAGGCATCGAAGCTAAACGAAGTTCTTTATCCTCACGTCAACAGAATTTAGACGATTTATTTCCTTGTTCTCTGCAAACGTTTTGTTTTTCACACATGTCATCAGTCAAACAAGAATCTAAACCAGAATCAGGTTTAACATTTGATGTGATTTGGTTAATTCCTTTTTGCTTTGAAAACACTTTTGTCCTTTCTGTAAATAAAGCCTTCGATGTGTAGTGCTCAGAATATGTCTTGAAGATGACTCTCAGCTAATACCACGCCAAATTTTATCTCAGTATCTGCAAAACTGGCTGAGTTGTAGCCATGTTTGTGTGTTTTTAGGTTGTCCAGCTGTGGCGACAAACTTGAATAGGGTTAACTCCTGAATTTAATCAGTTGTAGACGTGTGTCCAAGGATTACTTTTAGTGAATTTTGTTCAAATCTGTGTGTTGGTTCATGAGATATTTTGCTAACAGACACATTGATTGATTGATGATACTTTATTATCCCAAGGGGAAATTACAGTTCAGAACACCCGTTCACAAGACAGAACATAAACAAACATACCACTTTTATTTATAAAGCACTTTAAACAGCACAAGGCCAACCAAAGTGCTGTACAACAGACAGACACAACAGGACATAGTTAAAATTACAGTCAAAAATACAAATCAAAATATGGAGCATTTATATTATATATAACATAGGAGATCAGGTGCTCCAGGTCTTGCAGCCATAGACCCTGCACAGGACAAGGATAATCATCATGAAAGGACATCATGAGGAGGCAGTACCCTGAAAAAAGAAACGAAATACCACACAAAAATAGATGAGGCGGGAAAAAAACATATTATATTAACGAAATGTAAAACTATGGTGTTTATTGAAAAAAACCTCTGCAGAGCACATTATTGCTTTTTGCCTTGGATGGCAGAAAACTAATAGAGAAAAGGACTCAAATGCTCAATCTGACCACATTTACACTTTGCAGGTTACATCAATTATTAAAAACTTGATTAAACTCCAAATGCATGTCTTCCTTAGATATGACCAAAAAGGTGCAATCTGCCATTTTTTAGCAGAATATGTTCTGCATACTATCCTGAAGTTAACAGCAGCTCACACTTGTATTTTTACTACACAACCTTCTCTGATTTCTGCCCATATAAACTCATAATCTGTTCATTTGTTTATGTTTTGTCTCCCCCAGTCTCGCTCCTGGAAAACCTTTCTGACCATGATGCACTGGTCACTTCGGCGGCAGAGTTCCTGGGTCCAGCTGGCTGGACATCAAGGCACGTGTGTTACAGATTATTCGCATTACAGCCTGTAAATCAAACAACCGCACGGTTTCCATGAGGTTTTCAAAACCCTTGCTTGTAATATTTTCTGCTCTATTTGTCTCCTAATCGCCGACGTCACCAGGTAACTTCCAGGTGAGTAAAGGAGGGGAGGTGCTGAAACTGTACAGCGAACCGGAGGCCAAGTGCCTGGACTGCCTGATGAGTGACCCCCTGAGGCCGTTCGTCCCGCAGTACCACGGTTTGGTCACCAGAGGGGAGCACTGCTACATCCGCCTGGAGGACCTGCTGAACGGGCTGAGGAGGCCTGTGATCATGGACTGCAAGATGGGAGTCAGGTAGCTTTGTCTCTCAGTTAGAGCAGTTTTTTCTCTTTGTTCTGTCCAGCTGTAAAGAGGGCAGGGCCGAGAAAAGAGCATGTAACATTAGACTTTATTTCATAAACATATTTTACCTGTAAAAAGACTGTAAAAATACTGTACGATGTTCAGTTTTTATCATTTGAAAACTAAAAGTTTAAAAATATAGTACACGGACAGGGCCATTTTATTTACACGCAAAGCATTCTGGGTAAATGATGACGTGAATAGGTCCTCGGTGCGAGGCTGCTAGCGAGCTTTAAATCCACCCTGAGTGTTCATATTGGACAATATCTGACGATTGGCTCTTTTAAATGAAACCAGAGAGCGTTGACAGAGAGGAGAAGGTAGAAATGACTCAGCCTGTAACTGAAAATATGGATGGAGGACAACAGAGCTGCTTCATGGAAGAACCTCAGCTTAGCCTGTTAGCTTTAGCCCCAACGCTATCACCATATGTATGTATTAGCTCAGCGCCACACATTCTCCTCTCATCACTGAGGTCCTCCATCCACATGACAGAGAGGGGAACTCTGCCTGCAACTGAAAATATGGATGAAGGACCTCAGTTTAGCTTGTTTGTCGCGCTAGCACCAAGCTAATACATATAATGCAATATAGCGTTGGCACTAGCAAAGGCTAACAGGCTAAACTGAGGTTCTTCTTCCAAGAAGCAGCTCTGTTGTCCTCCATCTATATTTTCAGTTACAGGCTGAGTCATTTCTACCTTCTCCTCTCTGTCAACGCTCTCTGGTTTCATTTAAAAGAGCTGATCGTCAGATATTGTCCAAGATTAACCTTCAGGGTGGATATAGCTCACTCACACCGATGATGACCTATCCACGTCATCATTCACCCAGAATGTTTTGCGTGTAAATAGAATGGCTCTGTCCGTGTTAAAATATATTTTTAAAAATTTACAAAACTAAACAGCCTACAGTATTTTTACAGTCTTTATTTTACAGTTAAAATAAATGTTCATTAAATAAAGTCTAATGTTACAACTAATCAGGGATCCCTTTAAATATGGTGAGGCTAATCCACTAAATGAAAAAATAGTTCCATTATTAGCTGTTAGCTTATTTGTTGGAACCATTATGCCCACCACTGCAAATTTGGTTTAGAATAAAAATAAACCTGGATGACTCGTGTCAAATTTCTGCTTTAAGCACTGTATTCCTCAGCTCTGTGATGAATAAAATACTGTATTTCTTTGGAGGAATGCAAATCTCCAGCAGACAGAAAAGGCATGTTTCTTTTTAAAATCTGGTCATCTTTTTTTTTTTCATTTGATGAAATTCGGTCAAACGTTTTTCATGAAGCTGTAAAGGACAGACTATGAGAGATTTTCTTTCATGTCAGGACATTTCAAGAGGAGGAACTGGTTAAAGCCCGAACCAAACCCACCCCGAGGAGCGACATGTACCAGAAGATGCTGAAAATAGACCCTGCGGCTCCATCAGAGGAGGAACACGAACAGAAAGGGGTGACCAAATGGCGCTACCTTCAGTGGAGAGACACAACCACCTCTACGTCCACGCTGGGCTTCAGGATAGAGGGCATCATGGTAGGAGGAGAGGACGGTTCTGATTATTACCAGAACAATGTTTTTTTTAACACGTTTCTCATCTCACAGATGGAGGATGGCAACGTCCAGCGGGATTTCAGAAAAATCAAGACTTTAGCTCAGGTCACAGAGGCGTTGCTGTACTTCACCAGGAGTCAGCTGGACACTCTGGTCAGTTCACTCACAGAAATACTTGTTACATAAATCTGGATCACCATCTGAACACAGGGGTCAACCTGAACTGTTGTTAGTGGTGCAAATCTTTAGAAACTGACCCATCAGTATACTAGTTTAATACACTTACAAATTAAAATCTGATAAATAAAAGAAATAAGGAAATTAACTGACTGTTGGAGATGATCCTGTAAAACGTACGTAGGCCTAATGAGCTGCCTCACTTTTATTTGGTTTTATATGCCACTATAGATTAAATTAATGTGCGTGTTTAATGGAGTCTTCAGTAAATAATAATTGGATGTATATCAACAACTGATTAAACTTTGGAACCAATCTAATCTAAGATGGCCGCCTCAGCCAACTGACCTCAGAAAACACAAAAATAACTGTAACTCAGTCACTTTCACAGAAGTTGAGATTAAATTTGGTGTGGTAGTAGCTGAAAGTCATTCACAACCCATACTTAAAGGGCTATTCATCGCGCGCAGAAAAAAAAAGAAGAAAAAAAAGAAAGCATTAACTGTTGGAGTCACCCTTGTTTGTCTGTTTAAAATATTAAATGTAACATTCAGTAAATGAAAATATTTATTAAATATACATCTAAAGATTTTAGAATCAACCTGATTGAAGATGGCCACCACAGCCGAGTGTATGTAAAGAACCCGACTGTGACTGTGACTCAGTTTTACAGACTGATCCCAGAGTCTCTCCAGTTTCTTTACTTCTACCTCCTGATCGTTTGGCGCTGCTGAAACCCTACTGTCTGTGTGTTTCCAGAGAGCGTACCGCTCCAGACTCCTGGACCTGAAGGACGCGCTCAGGAACTCCTCGTTCTTCAGAACCCACGAGGTCAGTGGAAAACGAAGGGAGACGTGTGTCGCCTCGTTTAGTTGGATCTTAAATGCCTTACCTGTTAAACCCGTTTGTCTCTGATCAGGTGATCGGCAGCTCGCTTCTCTTCGTCCACGACCACCACAAGGCCAGCGTGTGGATGATCGACTTTGGGAAGACGGCGCCCCTGCCCGACGCCCGGGAGCTCCAGCACGGCATCCCGTGGACCGAGGGCACCAGGGAGGACGGGTACCTCATCGGCCTGACCTCCCTCATCTCCTCACTGGGCGATGCCATTGACGTGGCCTGCGGGCAGCAGGAGGTCGTCTGCGAGGAGGAAAACATGTTGCATGAAGTTCTCTGAGCGTTGTGTCTGTGACACAGAACTAAACTGATTGTCAGGATGAGGCGAGCAAAAGAGACTCTGTTGAGGATTTATTTTTCTGTCTGAGGAAAGAAATTTGATTGAAAGTTGATGCTTGTCTTGTTTTGTACATCTGGAATGTACATATGTCAACACGCAAAATAAGTTTTATGTTTTACCTTTTTTGCATATTTTCTAATAAATGTAATATTCACAAAGGACAAAAATGTTACTAATGTACGCACAAATGTTTTAAAGCCTTTATGTTCTCCCTGGTTTAAAGGAGTCCGAAGTCAAGTTCTGTAGAAATGTTATAAATAGTTACTATCTTACCTGCTGTAGATAGTGTTGTTAGGTTTATTTTTACATCATAATTAAGGATATAGAGGTTTGAACCATAGCACAGCATGGACAGTCCTGTAATCTGGAGTATACTTCCAGATTATTATTAGACTTTGTATAATTATCTCAAATGCGAACGCAAGATTACAGCAAAACACACATGTTTGTTTTCATGATTATTCTGGCTCCAAGCAGTTTTCTCTGGGTCACTGATAACATTTCTGACAATCATGATACCTCAGTTAAATTTGCAGTTTTCAACGTCAACAACAATCCTTTAAAAACGCGTGTGGATATACTGAGTTTAAAACAGGTAAGAGCTTGACTGTTCATAGCTTGTCCACATAAACCCACTTCAGATTATCCTAACTTCTCTTTTAAATCAGGATGTATTGAATATATATA